ATAGCATACAATATTGTATACATACATACATATATTGCGATATTGAAATGGTTTGTAATTAGAAAGTTCACGCTGCAGAAAAAGGTAATTGTGGTGTTTTATCTAAGTTGTATACCGGTAGCGCCCAATAAATCTCGACCAATTATTCTTTCGGTAGGAAAAAATGNAAAAAGGGGAACAGATTTGTATGAGATTTCTTTTCGTATAAATATGCTCTAATTATCGAGAAGTACGCCTTCCTCTTTTGCAAATATATCCTATCAGAAGTATATAAAATGTGGATATCTTTAAAACAGGAGCAGCTAGGATTTCAATTTAAGCGGATTCTTAACCTTAAGATATCAACAAATACAACCCTGCTTTCAGATTTTGTCGACATTTTTATGCAACCTATCTGCGCTTCCTGCCCACCGTGTATTGTTGCTTTAGTCACTTTTTTTATATGCCAACCCAACTAGAATCAAGGGCAGCTATCCTGCTGCTTTTTTTGTGGAAGGTGTTGCTAATTTTTGCTATACAAAAAAATTTCGACGATACTTAGTATGGAAGTTGTTAAATAGCAAATTTTGCAACCAATTAGAGTAAGGAGTAATTTTTTAATCAAAGGGTATGATAAAAATGCAAATATGCAAATGGTTTGGTTTTTTGAGCCTGATTATGTTTGTGCCCTGAATTTCAGATGACTTTTAGAATTAAAAATTCCGATGCAATCGGGAAAGAAGTCGGACATTCCGTGATTTACTTTATATTTGGCTTTTTGAATTGTTACGAAATTTGCATCCAATACAATATTTCCACTCCACCGATCTTCCCATCCTTCCATAAATAAGCTCACTGAACTTTGATTTTAATTCTCACATTCCGTCTAGTGCTAGTCAGGCATCACAGCCGAAATGCCAGGCATTAATTAGGATTGAATAATTGTAATTTCGCACCTCTTTAGATGTAACTACATAGCTCAAATTTATGGAAGAAAAAGTAAAAAATGGTATCGTGAAAGGTTTCGCTGTACCTTTTCTCTTCTTTTACTCTGTAACGGAAGGTAAGTGCATCTCTGCGAGCTCCACAATAATCTATTAGGTATATCAAACAAGTACACTTTAAAAAGATATAAAGATACATATGTGTGCAAATGGTGTTTCTTAGGACATAAAAAATTCTTCAAAGAGTGGATTGTCAATAATACATACCAAAGGTATACGGCTCGATAACGAACTTTGTATTCACAAAAAAAATTGAATATAAATAAACATACTGGCAATCTATCAACATAGGGTGTGTTCAGAAATGCATCAAGCGAAAGCATCAAACGCATTTATTTCTAAACTATTATTTATGGAAACGTGTTATTTACGCAACTAGGGTCCAATTAGGCATTTAACTGTGGTTGCGCATATTGGACATTTCCATCAATTGTAGTTTAGAAATAAATGCATTTGATGCTTTGGCTTGATGCATTTCTGAACACACCCATAAGCAACCTCGTAAGAATCCCATTTATTGATTACCCACCTAGACTTAAATTGCCCACGAATCAAGGAGCTTCCGACGAGTCGGTGACCCTGCAAACTATACAAAGGATATGTGTAAATCGCACACCCAACTTTAATTCGTGTTTGTTTTTGTTTTTCCTTTGAGTGGTTTAGATGCTCTGACAGTGCATCGTGCCAATGGAATCACAGCTCATGCGATTTTTGTTGAGATGACAAAAAATTATCGTTGTAATTGAATCATGCTTGTGCGCAAATAAAAATTGCCTTATTTATGAAAAATGTTGGTTTACTGCGCATCATAAAATATGTAATCTCCTGGCCGAAAACACATTTATTATGCTGCTAAGTTAATTCATAGTTGGTAACTTGCCTCAAGAATCACAAAAGTATTAACAATAAATTTGACCTTTCTACCCCTTACTACGAGTATTTGACTAACTAATTTAACAAAGATTAATTAAAGTAAAGATAAGATAAAGCAATTATAAACCTCCATCTGTCCGCCGCATCAATTTGATAGATTTCGAAACTTTCATGCTATGTACATACATATGTATCTCGTAGGAGGATTTTATGGCTCAAGTAATTTTTTTATGTTGTTTTTCTATCCCCATCTCCAATCGCTGCAACCAAACAGCAGTTTTGTCATTAAGCCGTTTTCCGGTTATATTTATCCAGATTGAATTTATTTTAGCCGCAAAAAAAAACAGTTCAAAATTTTAGCCGATTTTTAGCCGTTTCTTCAGAAAGTATCAGCGCTTTTTAACCGATATTGTGGTTCTCATATTATCTTATTTTAAATTCAAAATAAAAATTTCATAATTTTAAGAAGAATAAGTTATACTTTATCTCTATTCTGTCTATTCTTTTTGTTTTTAATATATGCATCTATTTTCAATCAAATCTGAAATTTTTGTTAAGATATTTATTTTCAGACATTTTCCTGTTTTATGGGCGGCACACAGTGTCCGAAACGGTAATCCAGAGGGACATTGCGATTTTGGTGAAGCGTCAGATTCAATATTGCCAAAAGTGTCAATTTGAAAATTCATTATTTCACTAACTTATTCGCAAATTATTTATTTATTTTACTAAAATTATACACTTCTATTATAGATTAAAAATTTGGTTATGAAGAAACCGTATCAAAAGACATAATGATCAGAAAATGTAGTCTCAAGTTATCTAAACAACAAATAGACCAACAAACTTTTATATTTATTAAATCCTTAGTTAAGGTTATTACCGTAGTCGTGATTGCGCCTATGGTTGTAGCCATGTTCCCCTACACTTTGAAGTGTTCCCTATAAATGTATATAAAATGTTACCCTGAAATATTAGATTACCTAATAATTTCGAAGCCCCAATATCCCTTGAATTTCATTATGCCTGCGACGACGACTGTGCTATTGAACAAATGGCACACATTTGGTTTGGGAGAATCAATCAACACCTTCTTCAATTCTATCATCGGAGACCAACCTCACTTATCGTAGACGCAGAGCTCGAGATGCTTCATGAGACTCGCGATAATAAGACACCACTCCATTCTGGATATTGTAGCTAGTTAAACTCTTCTGTCCAATTTGAATAAGATTCCCCGACAACACTAAATAACCACCTCTTTGTATGCCTACTCACATCAGCTCATTTAACATCCCTCTCCCTATGGCCCTGAATCTGGCCTTTTCCTAAGCTTGCCGATAAATGTTCTTAAAATAAATATTTAGAGCTTTTAGATTCTGACATATAAATAAACCTGGTTTATTCGATTTTAAAATTCCGGTATACTCGTTATTCAAAAAATTAAAGTTAAAAAAAATCGAGCCAATACTAAAAAAAAAGCCGGTTGAAAATGGTTTGGAAAAATAGAGTCAATCACCCTAGTGCATAGTTTTTGCCATTAAACGCTTTTTAAGCTCCTTTTACCTTTCGGGGAATTTTTTCAAACAGCCTCCCCAACGAATTGGTTCACCGATTGAGTGAGTGATTGGGTGAGTGACATCGATGTCAACTCGTTAGTGGCTTCAAACAAAGTTAACGAATTCCATTTCATTTGGCTTTCCATGCGGCCTAGAACCAACCGCCATCTGGGTTGGCAAAATGCTGATGGCTGTAACTCAATTGAGGCACAATTACCTCACTTTTCATTCAAAATTGTTTGGTTTTTTTTTTTTAGTGTGCAAATTGATGAAGTCAGCGCAGCAAAATAGAAACGAATACAGAAAATAGATGAAATTGGATTTCAAGAATGTATGTAGGCAGATATTTATGTGTGCATACCACTACCATACAATGTACAATATCAATATCGTATCAAAAATATGTTGTATATCGGTGGCATTTTGATAAAAGAACTTATCTCGAGTTAGGAAATTTTCTCTTTAAAGCAATATTTCATTGGGTTTTCAAACAATATTGTAACGATTAGCTAGCCATGTGTATAGTTTAAGATGCTCTTTCAATAGAAGCTTAACAAAAACGCAAATATTTTGAAGGGAACTCTTTTTTTAATCCAAATTCAAACCTACTTAAGGCACTTAAGCTGTTTTATTAAAATGCCACATACATATAAATATGTATGTATATGCATGTATGTATATACTTACAAGTTAAGTGCTCTTATTCATAATTTAACGCTTTTGGATACAACAACTAAACAGCTAAGCAGCCAATTTAATGGATAATGAAATACTTTCCATAGAATCAGCAGCGGCAATTGCAGCTGAAATGTGGCAGCAGCACGCGCTCAACACCAGTAATGCAACCACAAGCCACTCAGTAGCCAGCTGCCACATTCTGACAATCAACCTGAAAACTGAATTTCAAAGTTTTACGGTACTTAGTCTGCGCGCAGCGAAGCGTTTTAATTTAAAATGTTCATACAAAAGCGCATTGATCGCCTCCTCCTCCTCGCCCACATCGCACATCCCACATCACCAAGTATGGATGCACAACTTTTTATTGCAATTGTAACTTTTACATGCAGCAACTGCTGCTAGCTATTTACTACAAACTGAAGTGGCAAGTGCATTTCCATTTTCATTTAGAATTATGCTCAAGTACTCAACGGTTTTAAAATTGTGGTTTGAATATTTTGCGCTTTTACGTTCTCTTTTTTTTTAATCGGATATTTTTAGTTAAATACATAAAACTTATTGCATTTGCGCCTCCAAAAAAATAGCGATGTGCAGCGTGTTTTTGTTCATTTGCGGTTTAACCTGCGGTCACTGTTTGCTGCTGACCACTGTCAGTGCAAGTCCTCGGTCGCTTGCTGAAAAAGAGAGCAAGGCTGCAGCTGTGGCCGCAGTCATGGCAACAAATTCTGCACAAATAGAAGTGAATATTAAAAATTCGGAAAAGGATTCGCCACAGCAGGCAAATGTGTCAGCTTATCAACGAGAAAGTGTAAAGCCGAAAGCGATTCGCGCGGAAGCTGCAGCGTTGGAGACTTCTGCAGTAGAATTTAGCGAAGGTTTGTACTAAGTACTCATTTGCACATATCGGTGGACTTTCGACAAAGCAGCTTCTTTGTTTTTCGGTTGGTTGGAACTTAAAGTAAAATATAAGAAACTTCCGATTAAAAATGTGAAATTTCTGGAATTAATCTCCAATAACGATATCAATTAGCCCAGTGTGCGCCGTGTCCAGTGGCGCATTTTTTCCCTTAGGCACAATAGGCCCAGCCTAGGGTGGCCAAAAATTGGAGCGGCCAATATGATAAAAAATACACTGATCTTAACCAGACAGGCACAACCTCAATACACTGACACTTGACCCTTAAAAGCTATTTATATGGTTGTAAAAACACCCAGGTCTAAGAAACTTTATAAAAAAAAACTCTTTGGTGAATTTACATATTGTTCCACCCGCAAACATAGTTGACCGCAAAAATATGCAAATCCACAACTGGCCGTATCAGTTTGGCGGCGATACTAAATTCAGATATCGCGGCGTATAGGCAACTCCTTTTAGTGCTGGTGAGTGTCGATCTCTTTCTCGCGGGTCTTTTCGAAGATTTGGCGTATTGTGAATACCTGCTCTATGGCGGGTTTTTTCCAAACAGAGCTCGGAAAAGTATTTAAATAATAAAATCGGTCAAAAGTATCTGATATATGTACGGTCACCATTCGTACTGATTGTGATCGGACAGTACCGATTTTGAGAATATTGTCCCGCTGAATACTTTTTAAAAGTCAGGACGTATAAGTGTCTTGATTTTTTATATTCGTACCGATTAAATACCGATTTTCAGTGTTGTCGTATTTAATTTTACAAGGGTCTTCTTCCTTCTTCCTGTAATCTGGCCCAAAAACAATTTTTCGTACAATTATGGCAGCATTAGCCCTGGGTAGTAGCGTAATTTTGATGGCGCTAGCTCAACTACTCGGCGCAATAGCGCAGTGTATTGATTTGAACACCGTGCCATCTGAGTGTCACCACAGTACCCATCGTCATACAGTGTCATACACAATACTGGGGTGTCATGTCGATTATTTCTGAGCAACGCTTGTGCTGCCAACCGAATTTATTTGCTAGGAATGTAATAAATGCCACGATATTCTCATTACTTTTGAGTTAAAGGTTTAAATTTGCCAAGATACAAAATTTCTGGAGTTTTCACCACTCAAAAACAAAAACAAAGTACGTGTAATTTTTCAAAGAGTTAAGGCGATTTATGTGTGGGCCTCATGTGTTTCTTTATGTTAATGGCGCTAGCGCTTTTCATATATTGGTGTTGGCGCGGCAACTCCGGCTACGGTGTTGATGCAATTGCGCCGCGCAGCGCAGTGTTACCCATTCCTAGGCAGCATCCATATTTTCTATGATCTTTGGTTATGTTTTATTCTGTCAAACTGTTACTCTCGCTATATTACAGTCTATCATTCTTGTCCATTTTTTTTTAAGATTTTTATATTTATTTATCGGCCGCTGTGGTGTAGTGGTAAGCAGTGCGCGCTTCCGCTACGCAGCGCCTCGGTTCAATCCCTGGTCAAAGCAACAACGCAAAAAAAATATAGAATAAAGGTTTTTTCTTAACAGCGGTCGTCCCTCGGTAGGCAATCGTAAACATCCGAGTGTATTTCTGCCATGAAAAACAGCTTCTCATAAAAATACAATTGCCGTTCGGAGTCGGCGCAAGACCGTAGGTCCCTCCGCACGCCACAAATCGGAGGAGAAGCTCGGCCAAACACTAACATATGTACATATGTGTAAGCGCCAATCTATTATTATTATTCATTTTGTTTTGTTTTTTCTTAATGAAACGATTCTGACTTGAATTTAGTAAAATTATAAAAAATAATACTAATTTCCTCAAAAAATTCGTTGATATGAAAAATATAAGCTGTAGATTCAGTGGCGAAAATATAAATAGAAAACAAATATTTTAGCATTCTATGGCTTTTCCCCTTTCGATTATTTAATGCTTATTACTTTTGATAAAAGTGTAACCTTGTAAAAAATTTAAAAAATTCGAGAAGGTTTCATCAAAATGATCAGCTTTTTTCTATCTAGATATCTAGATATTCTTAGAAACATTCTGAGTACGCAGTTTTTTGGCCCATTCAATTTTAGTAGCGCAATTTAAGTGCAAATTTAAAGTAGCTAGGACTGACTGTGATTTTTGGTTGCTCATTTCCTTATTGTCGAACATACTTTGAATGGAAGAAAATGCGCAAACAAAAAATTACAAAAAAAAAAAAAAACAATGGCAACTGCGAGCTACAAAAAAACTTACAAGAACGGTGATTCCGGATTCTTTTCTTCCGATTGGCTCCTGTTCGCGAAAAACTGCAGAGTTTTCAGAATTTTTAGTTGCTAAAATGGTGATGCTTTTCCAAATTCAATTGAATAATCAACTGAAAAATTCATGAAAGAAATTACGTTAAATACGTTACTCTCCGTTTCCGTAAACGCAATTATTTTTCCGACATGCTGTCTTAAATTATTATTATTAAAAATCTGAAATCCTGACATGTAAACTTTATTTCACCGGACTTAACGCACGGAGAGCATATTTGCATTTTAATTCACAGTTTATATTATTAAGTCCACACTTACATGCTATAATAACCGCTTGAAATACTCCCTCTCTCTCTCTCATCTTCTCCATCATTACACAGGTCGTGGCAAGTATAAGCGACGCAAAATGTTGAAGTACCTGCAGCCGTTGCTGATTGGTGTTTTAATTGTAAAGTTCATCATGCTGCCGCTCGTTCTGAAAACGTTAACCGCGCTCTCGACATCGTCATTTGTGATGAGTAAAATTGCATTGGCAACTGCTGGACTATTTGTGCTTAAATGGCTATTTTCCGGCTCCGGGGACGGCAGTGGCTACAATGGCGGCGTCAAGGAGCGAACACATTTCGAGATTGTGCATTTACCATTACCACTGACGAAAACATATCAAAGGGGAAATGCAGGTGGTGACGTCGTTGGTGGTTGGAGTGATTTATCGCTAAGTGGCAGCAACAGCATATTGGCTGTAAAGCATGCAAACAACAAGCCCAGCAAATATATACCAGTAAATAGCGCCAAGGATATGGCGCATGTAGTGGCAGCTGCAGTGGCGACAGACAGCGTCGGCGGCAATAGCTATCGAAGCACGCGACCTTATCGTCCCTATGACGCTGCTTTTTATGGTAAACCTTTTTTGTAAAAGCGCATATTTTTGATCAGGCGATTTCCCAACGATTACACTGGCATTTACATAAGCAGTACACAATTACCTTTTTTTAACAATGTTTGCGCAAGTATTTAATTAATCATTATATTCGCTGATTAAAGCAATGGTATTAACTTGTATCGTCTAAAGCTGTAACACATAACTGAAATGAATTTTAGCATGAATAAATTTATGTATTTACATGTTTACTGTAATTACGAAATGCGAAGATTTGTATGAAATGAAAAAACAGGTTTGTTCGTTAAAATATCCGGTTTATTCCGTATTCGAAAAGTCAAGATTTCAAAAAACCGCCTATAGATATCCAAATAAACCGATAGAAACCGGTTTGAATCGAATCGAAATCGAATGAATCACCCGAATATATATGTATTTATATGTATGCATAAATATGGATATATTTGCTCTTACTTTTTAACTAGTCTTAATATGTGTAAAAAATGACGGATTTATAACACCGTGCGACAGTCAATTTTACACATGAACAAGTAATTTTTAGCAAAAGAAAACCGACCAATTCTTATATTAAAAACTATATATGTATATACATATATATCTCATGATCCAATGATCGGATCTAAACCAGATTAGTTTGGGACCACCTCTGGGTAAAAATGTTTTAAATTACATTTTTTTTTGTGTATATAAAACGAAATTTTGGGTTTAATAAAGTATACGTTTTCTGGTAGCCCTTACAACGATACCAATTTTTTTAAAAATCGGGTAGTAATTTTTTTGTTTAAAATATTTTTCTTTATAAAAAGGGTATTTTTTGCTTTCAAGTGTTTTTTCTCAAATTTTTATACACGAAGTATACAATATGCACACCAGAAGAAAAGGAGTTTAATCGCCTTTACACCGATACCAAATTTTAAAAAATCTGCTAGTTATTTTTTTATAAAAAAAAAGCTATTTTTTCATTTGAAGTATTTTTTCTCAAATTTTTATATACGAAGTATACAAATACGCATATCGGAAGAAAGAAGGTCTCATTGCGTTTACAATGATCACAACTCTATAAATATCGATTAGTAATTTTTTTGTTTAAAATATTTTTTTTATAAAAGAAATGTATTTTTTCCTTTTAAATATTTTTCTCAAATTTTTACATACAAAGTGTTCAAATATTTATATCAGAAGAGAAGAAGATATTTTAGTCTAATCACGTTTACAATGAAGCCAACTTTTTAAAAATCAGTTCAAAATTGTTTGAAATATAAGGTTCTTAATTTTTTGAAGACCCGACCTTTACCCCCTTATAGCACCTGTAATATAAGTTTGCAAAAAAAAAGTTATAAACCATTTAAATAAGAGCAAAAGGCGATCTACGACTGTATTTTTAGTTTTTTAGTTATTAGTACATCTAATAATAAAAAATAATTTTTTACCAAAGATCCTATTTCGAACTTCGAAGGCCCATATCTTTACTTTTTTTACCTATGACTCAATCACTTAAAAAAAATTGGTTTGGTCCAATACCCAGCGGAGTGTTGTACAGTGTTATGATTCCAGTATCTTCATTTATGTATCAATATCTTATAAGAGAAGTGTAAAATGTTTTGTATCTAAAACTAATAAAGGTAGAAGGACGAAATTCGAGGATGTGGTGGTTCACATATTTGTTCTTGACATATATTTTTTTTCAAAAATGAATATAGGACAACTCTAAGGATATTCAAGGATAAAGCTTAAAAGGACATTTTCAACATTTATTCGTCCTGGTGCAACAAAAAATTAAATTTTTTTAATTCTACAAAATTTTTCCTTTTAATGGATTCAGCTCATATTGTTACTTTCCAATGCAACAAATCTTTTAAATAATTTTTTTTATTCAATCGTATCCTGGAAGTTTGTTTGGAGATGCCAAGGCACCTTCATCTTTTCTACCAACTTAAAATCCAAATTTCTTAAAAATTTTCTAGATTTTCTGGGGCAAACGGAAAATCAATATGTATCACTTGAGAAAAAATCGAAAATCGATTCTCGAGTTTTTTCGGATCGGAACTTAAAAAAATAGACATAAAATCGAATCGGATGGGCTCGTTTAATCGATCTTCGATTTAAT